CACAGACACACACAGGGGGGTCTTTCTTTCCTTTGTCACAACACAGTAAATAGCTGGTTGTCTTGTGGTGAATGAAGTCGTCTCCTGCAGTAGAGACGTTTTAATCCTGTCTCATGTTTAGAAAACAAAATTATTCTAAAGATAATGAATCCACAAACCAACATACGGGGTTAAATTTCTGTACCTGCATCACATCTGATGCTTTTAAATCAACACGGGTTCCACTTTTGAGAAGTGAGTTTTCATCGATATTTAATCAAGTTTTAATATTTTTGATTGTTTTTTTTTGTTCACTGTGTGTTTAGGTCTGTCCAAAAAATTAATAATGATATAAATAAGTTTTTAACTAACTTAAACACTGTCAGTGCCAATTAGACCACAGTGATCCAACTGCACTGTGAAGGATGAAACTGTGACCATGATCTCAATATAGAGAAACACACACAGCGAACCTAATATTACAATATTTCTTAAACATTATAAAGTCAAACTTTCTGAAAGTCTCTTTTCAAATATGTGTGAATACTGTAGGATTTTTAAGCATCACGTGATCATTGAATTCCTTTAAACATTTGTATATTTTTAAATAATTTCCAAAACATTATTGTGAAATTCTCGTGTGATAAGCAACTTTAAAGTAATATTGATATCAATCTCATGTCTGCACCATGAATATGAAGCTGGATGCAGTTAGCTTAGCTTAGCACAAAGACTGGAAATGGAGGACAACTGCTAGCCTGGTGCTTTCCAAAGCAAAAAAACAAAATCCACCTACCACCACCTCGAAAGTCCTTGTGTGTGTGTTCCCACTGCAGGAACTTTGAGATGACCAAGAACTTTTTGAGGAATTAAACCTGAGTTTCGACCACATTTAGTTCCTGTACGATTGTTCCGGGGGGCAAAAAAGTTCTCGCTCTGCGCTCTGGGGGAAATATTTTTCAAAGGTTCAGGAACTTTATGGGTAGCTGCTTCAATTTGTTTAATATTTCATTCATAAAACAAGAAAGTCCTTTAGTATTAATATTGGTAGATTTCTTGTTTTTTTTTTTCATATTAAAACCAAAGTTAGGCTTTGTTGTCAGCTTCCTAATTGCTTTACTAATTGTTTCATGATATCATTTGTCTTCTAAAGCAGAAATAACTTTCAAACATTCAACAGACCCTCTGCTCTGGAGTTTTCAGTCTCCTTTTCCTCCGCTGAATTTCTCCTATTCGTTTATTCATTATATCAAACTAAAACATCAGAATCAGCAGACAGAAAATATAAAGAACACTTTTTATATCCACCCTGGGTCTTACTTGTCTAATCTTCACAGTTTGTCAGATGTGATGGAAACTGAAGCAGGATTGTTCTGCAGTTCCTAGTTTATTTCCTGAAATTAGTTCCTCAAGTTCCAAACTTCCTTAAAAGTTTTGGTTGAAAATGAGTTAAATTAATTCTTGTTATGTAACTTATTTGTTTAATTTGTACAAAAACCAGAGTATGTAATAACAATCAGCAGGTTTTCTGGAGGTTATGTGCCGGGAGCTTTAGAGGTGCTAATAGGTGGATTTTGTTACCTTTGGCCAGCTGTTTCCACTCTTTATACTATGCTACTGTCTCCTGGCTGTATCTTCATATCTAACATACAGACGTGAGAGTAGCATCAACCTTCTCATCTAACTCTCCGCAGGGAAGGAAATGTTGAACTACTATTTCAAGAGGAACCTGTTAAACCGCATCAGACATCCGGTCCTCCTCTTCTGTGCATCACTCCTGGAAAACATGATGACCACAGCTTTCCTGTGAGGTAATTTGATTAAACACAAATTAATTTAGAAATACGCACAACACGATCAGTAGCTGAATAAATGAATGTGTAAAGTAAATTCACCTGCAGTCCTTTATAAAATCGATTAATGTTGTGCATGAGTGTAAGTTCTCATTTTTCCAAAGTTATAACTTATTACAAAGACAGCCTTGACTTTAAAATAAAAGTACAACAACTCCATTTTCTCCTTAACAAACCAAAGACACATCTGCCTGTACCTCAGATGCCTCAGTGGCCCCCAAAGGTTTTGGCTTGTGGCTCCTTAAAATGAGACATTTCCTACCTGTGACCCAGGCAGACCGGTTATGTGGACATGAGATATTTTTAGAGACCTAGAGAGGTGAAAAGATCCAGTTTTTTATACGAGAAATACAACAACTTCCAGAAAAAGTCTTTTTAGTCTTTTTTTATTCTTGTAATCAGATTTAACTTGGTGATCCCAAGGTTGGTCTTAAATGTTGCTGCTGATCAGTTTGCTCTGATATGATTCAGAGGAGGAACAACAGCTGGTAAAATATAAATGAAGGAAGACACTATAAAATCCCTACAACCTTAATAAAAACATGTTAAGTTCCTAGAAATACATTACAATAGTTTTTTCCTAGAAATACAAATATGCAAATGTACCAAACTCTTAGGATTCTTATATATTTAGCTATAATTTAGTACATAAAGTTATTCCTTAAATACTTCTAATGGCTTAACATCTAGACCTGCAGTTTTGGCCATTATTATTTTTACATATTAAAGTTATTTAGCTGTCCAGAAATTCGCAGGAAACAGATAGGCCTATATTATAAAATGACAAAATGTAAGTGACCCCTTTTACACAGTAGAGACACTTTTCTGCACCAGTAATATAGAATTATTATAATAATATCACAGGAAATTGAATCTTTAGTAGCCAAACTGTCCAAAACTTCAATAAATCTATTAAGAATTTTGACTTTAAAGTTTATATTAAACATCATGACTACAGGATGGATCAAGTCCTGTTATAGGTTGGATAATGAATCATTGGTGACAACAGGATAAAGAGCAAGAAACTCCCCGAATATGCAACAACATAGACCAACATATTGTTATTGATTTTAAAAATGTAAAGAATATTATTATTAATATAATTAATATTCCTGTCAAAGCGACCATAACCTGATTAACTTCAGTGCAGGCTGAAATCAAACGACTCACAACGGCTCCAACTTTTATTCAACATCATAAATATCCAGCTTATTACAAAACAACTCACCGGTCAACATTATAAATAGATTTATGAAACACACGGAAACAAGTTCTCGCGATAAAAGTGACACTTTTGCAGAAAAACACAACAGAAACAACAACAACAAAGAAAAAGTTTCCAAAAACAAGAAAACGTTTGTTTTGATCGGTTTTGTGCAGTTAAACTTCAGTCTTTTTGTCCACATATTCAATAGTGTAGTTTTAGACGTTTTGCGCGTCTGAATGGGGAAAATGTCTTTTGTTACCTGTGATGAGGTTAAAAATAAAAAAAACAATCAAGCTGTAGGAGACAGAAAAAAACACATTTTTGATGGGATTACACAAAATAAATGTCCTAAAAACAGGTCATCAGCTGAGAGTCTGAAGTTTAAAAAAACTAACTGAGTTTAATTTTCTCATGTAGTATTATTTATTCTGCCTTGTTTCAAGACGCTCATGCTTTTTGAAAAATAGGCCTAGTATACTCTGGGAAAAACAAATCCTGGTATAAACCAAACTCCGTTCAAAAAAATATGTAATTTTATTCCTTTTTTAATAGTGGCGTTTATCGTTTAAGAAAGACTATTCGGACAAGAAAAACAATCAATTCATGGCCGAACTCGAGCTTATAACGTGGATTTCTCGGTGTTTTAGGAATCAGAAAAGAGTTTTGGCTTCACCAGCTCCAGTGGTACATGTGCGCCAGCTGCTGCACCGCTGGGTGCTGCTGCGGCAGTCCGGGGTAGTCCGGGCCGTAGGCGGGGTACAGCAGCGGAGAGTAGGCACACAGAGGTAGACTCAAGCCGGACCTGAGCGTCGCCTCCAGGTTCTGCGCTGTGATTCGGTCGCAGGGCTTCCCGTCCTGCACCAGGACCGGAATGGCGACCCGGCGGGCCGGCAGCAGCTGCAGCGCCTCCAGGCTGCAATGCTCAACCCGGGAACGCTTCATCTTGTAGCGGTGGTTCTGGAACCAGATCTTCACTTGGTTCGGGGTGAGGCGGATCAGCCCGGCCAGGTGCTCCCTCTCCGGGGCGGACAGGTAGCGCTGCTGCCGGAAGCGACGCTCCAGCTCGAAGGTCTGCGCCTTGGAGAAGAGCACCCGCCGCTTCCTGCCGCGGCTCTTCTGCGCCGCGCCGCCCGCCGGTTCCCGCTCCGCGTCTGGGGACTCGTCCGTGGAGAGCTCTGGAGATTTGGGCTCGGTACTGGACTCTAAGGAAAGACCGTGTACTGCAGGGAGACAGTACAAGTGATGTGATTACTCTGTAACACCGCAGAGACAGACTGGAGCTCGGACAGACTTCCATCATAAGTAATTCCTTTAAAACAGAGACTGAAAACATTCCCACAGAAATCAATTAACGACTACATTTTTCTTAAGCTAGAACACATAATCAGAGCCCAGTATGTTGATTTCATTTCATATCGTATCTGTTCTCCCAGAAATATCCTGAAACTGCTTTGAAATCAGCATAATGTTGAAGAAAACGTGTGCCTGACTGATTGGGCTTTGTCCTTGTTAGAAATGACAAAAACTAAACATCAGCAACTATTTTGAACTGAATGAGTTGAACAGTTAACATTAATAAGGAGGTGATGGTTTAATTATTGACAATATGACGATGTAATGTGAAATCTGAAAGATGGAGAAGAGGGAGACAAAGAGACAGGTTACGTCTCCAGTTACGCGCGGATGTGTGCGGCTGTCTGGACAGAAATAAGGATTAAATTATCATCTAAAGTCATTTTTATAATTTTAAAAGTAAATTTAAGATGGATTTACAAAATATTTAAAGTAATTATTGATTCTTTAAGCAGTATTGTATTAATTTGGTAATTACGCACGAGCAGAAGTGTCAGATTCAGGAGTCAGAAATGAGAATAATAATAATATATGTAATAATAGTAAATATGGACTGATGTATGAATATATAGGGCTATCATATAAATATACTAACTTTTCTTTTTAAAAACAAGTGTGCTCACATGAGAAGTGCAGGTTACCGGATCCGCGGCTCCACCTGCCGTAGCTTCCCCCGGCGCGCTCGCACAAACTCCGGCCGCTAAATCCCAATTTCTGCGCGTTTCCCGCCCCTGAAACCTCCGCAGAGGCCTCCTCGGTGTCGTCCTCCTCGGTCTCCTCGGTCCCGGAGCTGCATCTCCCGGTCGGGTTCGGGAGATCCAGGATATCCCGCACGGAGAAGCCCGTTTTTGTGCTAGTGCCAACAGACATGACGCCGGTAAAAAAAAGAAAAGGAGAGACTGAAGGGGAAAAAAGTTCCAGGTTTGTGTCCGCGATGGTTCAGCCGCTGCAGCCCGTTAAAGAGGAGCAGCCAGCGGAGGGTTTGGGTCCATGAATGCCGTTAAACGGAGCGGGAGCCCGGAGCTGCAACGGGCCGACCGGAGAGGATTTAACAGCATGAAAAATACATGAGGGAAGACATTAAGAGCGTGTGTGTGTGTGTCCTCCGTCCTTTTAACGGCCTGTGTGTGTGTGTGTGTGAGCCGTTAAAAAGGACGGAGGCGGGTCCCGAGGGTCAAGTGGTTGAGGGTGTGAAAAAAAAGACACAAAAAACGGGAGCAGCGTATTAAAGAGAGATGCTGGAGCTTCAGGGAGGAGGTGAATGTTTTAATGATGGAGGATTAGCGAGGAAGAAGTGACTCATTTACATTTATTAGAGTCACTGATCATGATCCGGTCCTGTTTAACGCAAATGAACCAAACAATCCCCAGTGTGTGCCAACAAGTTACGTGGAGGAGTAACAGATAGAAGGCATCGAAGATCTATTAACGCAACATAAAATCGTAGCATCAATACGAAATCATACACGCGGTTTATTCAGCAACAAACTGGACAAATATTTATATTATTTACACTATTTTTGGGGATACAAGTTCAAACCAAAAAGTTAAATTGTTGGCAAAAGTTAATAAATAAAAACTAAATAAATGAAGACATCAGCCTGCAAATCAATTAACTCTATTATTACTTTACTTTTATTTCTAAATTAAAAAAATGTTGTTTTTTTTAAGATTGTTCTGCTCACAGTGCAGAATAAAATGACTGGTGGGGAAATGTTGAAGACTCACTTTATATTCTATATAGTTAATTAGTTCTGTTGCCATACAATTAGCCAAATTAAACAAATAAGTAAAAAAAAAATATATAAATAAATAAATACTGGAGTCAGCTTTACCCACGGATAAATAACTAAGTTGCCTCGTTTCTATAGCCCTTTAAAATGCATACAAATACAAATTTAAATTGTAGTAGTAAAAATGAAAACTAAAGTAATAAAATAAAAAATTTTACACTTTATACAGATTTTACTGTGCACACAAAACTGCCTTGAAAAAATCACCACATTTAGGATGATAATCAAGTATTTAATGCAAACTTAGAGCGTATTTCAGTGTTTGTTGTGAGGATTAACTCAAGAGTGTTTACACACCAGCTGATGGACTCACAAATACACACACACTCACTCACACACACTGTCAGAGTTCATTTCAAATCTTTATTGTCGTCCCACAGATGAAATGATTTACTGACACTTATCTCTATTTCTTTATGGTGGCTGCACTGGTTCGTATTTTGTCCTGTCACAGTAGGAAAAAGCACAAGTGTAAATAATAAAATGAATTGGCTGAATTGCATTAAGCTGCAGTAGAAACAACACACAATTTTTTTACAAGTCAGAATATGTGCTGTTGAAAAGATTATCATTGCTGTGGTGGAAATTAAGTACACTTACTCCTTTTACTACAATTTGAGGTACATTTTGTGTTACTTTATACATCTACTCCACCACATTTTGGAGGCAAATATCATCCTCTTTACTTCACTACGTCTATCTGACAGCTGTAATTCAGATCAGATCTTTAGGGGACATTAATCAGTTACATCATCTGTTCATTAAAAATGAAAATTATGATTTTATATAATAAAATACACTGTGAAGATTAAACTAGTGGATCCTCATATTTTGGGCTTGTCCTCTCTGGTCGGTGTCCCTTGTTACATTTCAGATGTCTGTTAGCAGTTTCATCAAAGAGACATTTCACCTTTTGTTGTTTCATTAAAGTAATTGAAGACCAAAGAGGACAAAGTATCCAATATTTAACTACAAATATTAAAGAAAAGTCCAAAATGTTTTATAAATTTGTGTATTAGAACTTTATAAGTTTATAAAATAATATCATATATTACTCTCAGGGGACATTTCACTGTAAAACAAGCACTTTTACTTTTGATACTTTAAGTCCTGATAATACTTGTGTGCTGAATCAAGGAATAACTTGCTATAATGGAGTCATTTATATTGATTCAGATTTAAGGTCAATGTGAATTTATGTAATCGGGGGATCCCCCTCTTCAAAGTCCTACAGTAAAAGTATACAACAAGGAGAGCTAGTAAGAAATCAACAAAAAATGAACAACTTAACAATCAAGGCGCTGGCATGTTCTGTGGTCATCGCTCACTGATGAATTTAAAGGAAGCGTCCGCGCTTTATGTGACATCTGTGATTCTTCATGGACTTATTTAACATTAGAATCACGTCCTCTTTCTCCTCAGTTTGTTCATCAATCTACAGTTTAACAGTAACAGTGAGATCAAACTAAATCAACTCCGAGCTACCATTTAAAGAAACACTTTGACCACTTGGAAAATCCTTTTTTTCCCTCCAGAATTACACAAGAAGTAGATCTGTTTCAATCATAACATATTTTGAAAAAAGTCTTTATTAGTAGTTTTAAGGATACAGGGTTGCTGTGCGTCCAGTAAATCCACACGCTACGGGAGTTGTTTAGCCTAGCTTAGCATAAATACTGGAAGCAGGGGGAAACTGCTAGCCTTGCTTCATCAAAAGAGAAAATTATAAAGTTTTTAGCCACTTTACCGTTGCCAAAAGTTGTATCTTGTTCCTAAGTTAAACAGTTAATTGAAATAGACAAATAACTGTTAGTGTTTGCAACCTTAATACCACTTTAGTGTCTAATTGTAGTCTGGACTAAAACTTCTTTAGTCTCAGCTATGATGGGAAGGATTAAGATGATGATTTTGTTGATTCATGATTCCCAGAGGAGGAGGAATACTGACTTTGGTGATCTGCTGTGAAGTTGACTTTTGTAGTTTTTACTGAAATATCTCAACAGTAAAAAAGATGGATTGACATAAAGTTGGAGACAAACATTCATGAATTCCCTTGGGGATTCTCTGGCTTTTCCTCTAGCGCCATCATCAGGTCAATTTAGACCATTTGTCCACATACACAGTAAAAAAATGTACATTTCTATTATCATGTCCCTATTTTCTTAAAACAAACCAAAATCTAAAGTCAACTTCATTCTATAGTCCACTGATCCACCTTCTTCTTCTTCTTCTTTTGTGGTTCTGACCCTAAACTGCTCAAACTGCTCTGGGAAGCAGTGGGATGATGTCACTACATCTCAGTTGTCTCTTATTTTAAGATAAAATAAGTGTAATTCAAACAGTAAATGACTTGATAAATGTAACATTTCCCAAGCCAGACTTCTTTGGGATTTCTCTTGTCATTTGGGGCATTTTTTACAGCAAGGTTTGTATGTTTGGTTAAGTTTTGGTTTTCACTTTTCTCTGTGTGTGATGTGTGTGACAATGACTTCCTCTATCTCTCTCTCTCTCTCTCTCTCTCTCTCTCTCTCTCTCTCTCTCTCTCTCTCTGTGTGTGTGTGTGTGTGTGTGTGTGTGTGTG